GAGAGGGGCTCAGATTTCTGTGCCATTTTTCACTAAATTTCCTGCTTAATTGCTGATAAAGATGGATGGTAAGTGAACCATGTAATCACCTACAACCATTGTTTGTTGTCTTGCCAGAGGATGTGGATAATTGCAGCAAGTGCACATTAGAAGGTCCAGCAGCTTGAGACCCAGGTATCCACATTCCAACATATTAAGGAGGAAGATGTTGTCTTGGATCTAGCAGTGCAGACTGTCTTGCAGGAGAATCTCACAGAAGATCTCTCTGAGGGGGAAGATGTTACTCCCCAAACATAGGAGGTGGACAGGACACTTGGAGGAATTTTACCTATAGGAGTAGAATGACCAGGAATCATTCTGTAAGTTTGGAGATACAGAATCAATTCGAAGTTTTCTCCCACATCAATGAAGATGCAGAACAAGAAGAAGTGCAATAAAGTGTGTCCCTAGGGAATGTGCAAATGCCCCTGGAAGAGTCAGAACATGGAGTGGCTCTTGCCAAATCTCCAAGAAGATGTGTGACGGTGGCAAGTGACTCTTTCGGTCTCACTAGACTTATGGGTGCATTCGTTTAAAAATATATGGGAGAGGTTCTACTTATTAGTTGCTCACAGGTCCCAAAAACTCTTCCTAAGGAGGTTGTTATGCATTCTTACACTTTATCCCATGCCCTCATTGCATGGTTACAGCTCTGTGCCTTTCCCATTCCCTGGCCCTATTGTTTAAAGCCTGGCCATGTTTACATTAGCTATTATTTAGTTATATGACAACTATAACAGCAATATAAACAATAAATAAAACAATAGATTAAAAAACAGTTAAAACATAATCATAATCATTGATGGATTTGGCTGATTTATTCTGAGTTTTATGTTGTTGTTACATGCTTATATATTTTATTCAATTGTATTTTATATTGTGCTTTATGTTATGGCCTGTTTTAGGCACCTTGTGCCTTTTGTAAGCCACCTGGAGTTCCTTCAGATAGATGATGGTGGGATACAAAAATAAAGTTGTTGTTGTTGCTATTATTATGATTATGATTATGATTATTATTATTATATTGGGGAACTCCTTACTATCTTTTGACAAACAGGTAAAATCCTTATTAATCTAGTAGGTCTTTGAGAAACAGGACTTCAATGATGTGTGGGCCTTTTGTTGTTCACAATGGTTTGTGTTTTTACTTGGTTTTAATTCTGATATGATTTCATTGCTTTTCAACTATTGTAAGCTGTGAGTGTTGAGTTACTTGTTAACTCTTGTAAGCTGCCTTGAATCCCAAGCTGGTGGGAAATAATAATAATAGAAAATAATTAGAAGTTTTGTAATAGGCATTCACAAATCTATCTTTTACCCATGCTCCTCTTTTTCTAATAGTGTTGTTAAAAAAGTGATTCAAATTCAATGTGGGCTCTTTTTTCCTTTTAAAGAATCTTTGATTTATCCCAACTCTGTTTTGAAGCAAAATATCACTTTAGAGAACCTTCTTGTGAAGAAGACAGAGTAATGTTGCAGCTTTAGAAACCTCTTTTAAGGATCCAACCCACCCCCTCTAACCCAGAAACATAATGGTAAAGGAGCAATATCTGTTGGAGTGTGACTGCTATGAATTCCCAACTATGCACAGGCTATTAATGTGTAAACTGTTTATATATATCACGGAAAGGTCATACAGCTCCAGTGACCTGTGACCCAGGTCTAATGGTTTGAAGTTCCTGAAAGTAGATTTCTATTGAACATTGGAAGGAACTTCTTGACAGTAAGAAAAGTTTGGCATGGAACCAATATCCTAGAGAGGTGTTGGGGTCTCCTTTTGCGTACCTTTTGAGAAATTGGCTGGACAGCTACTTGCTGGGGATGCTTTAGATGGAAATCTTGCATTGAACAAGAAGATAGACTCGGTGGCCCATAGGATTCCTTCCAGATTTATTAGTCTGTGACTTTATGACCTCATTTGATGGAAACCACACAACCTTTGACTTTCTCACCACCTGGAGAATTGGGCTGCACATAACAGTCTTGGACTTACTCTATCAACAACCTCACAGGAACATATAATCATGTCACAGCAATGGAAGGTGTCTCGAAAGAGGATAGAAGGTGAATTCTACTGTCCTTGTGTGATCCTGTATTTCATTTATAAAATGTGTTTTATTTGAAACGATGGCATGATTGCTGGTATGTTATGGTTATATGATAAGACGCATTAGTTACAAATCCAATAATGGTTATTCTTTCCTTTCCCTTTTACTGCTCATTGTACATTAAAATTAGGGCCAAAGACCAATTTAAAAAAAGGCAGCCCAGTTTCAACAAAAAAAGTAGATCAGAAATAGGGATAATTGGCCCTTTAGGGAATTACTGCTAAATATCCATTACAGTTTGCATTTGTTTAGCCCATTAGAAAGGGCAAACTCTCTTGGACAGCAGGTTACGTTCAGAATTTGGTAAGTATAATTTGCCTTTAACATCATCTCTTGCTTGCCTTGATGCTTTAAAAATTTACCTGATCAGCAGCAGTTTGAGGTATTTTTTTTCTGTGTTCAGATTCTGAGTGTGTCAAAGCTCTTTAGCCATTGCAGAGGAGAACAGAATATGTAATATTCAGCATCTATTTATCCGTATCTCATCAGCTCTGCTTTAATAGCCCTCATTCTATTACACTTAAAAATACTTCTGTGTTTAGTTGCTTCATAATTTAATGTGACGTGTAAGCATATCTTAAATGCAAGAGAGAGAGAGAGAATAAGGGGTAAAGCTCTTCCTTTTACAGACTGGGAGAAGCTGGGGAACCATTCACAATTAAATCCACATTCATAAATTCCTTAATTGGTGGAGGACCTTCCCACAGCCGTTAAGTAGTGACTGGCTAGAATGAGATTAGTATAATCTAAATCAGTGGCTCTCAAACTTCCTAATGCAGTGACCTCTTAACACAGTTCTTCATGTTGTGGTGACCCCGCCCCCCCAACCTTAAAATTATTTTTGTTGCTACTTCATAACTGTAATTTTGCTACTGTTGTGAATTGTAATGTAAATATCTGATATGCAGGATGTTTTCCATTCACTGGACCAAATTTGGCACAAACACCTGATACGCCCTAATTTGAATACTTATGGAGTTGGCGGGGTGGGGGGGTGGGGTTCAGAGTCAAGCCAGTCACTTTAAGGATACCATCCAGGCCTGTAGCCGGGGGGGGGGGGGGGGGGGGGGGGGGGGGGGGGGGGGGTTAGGGGTTCAACACCCCCCCCCCGAAATTTTTCAGGTTAAAAAAAACCTGGTTTACTCATGAATTTTAACTGGTTAACCAAATCCCCATGCTAAGTCTATGAGACGCAAAAAATTAAGAGTCCCTCCAGAACTGCAAGCACTATGTCAAGCAAATATTGACAATTTATCCACACTGTAATTACTTGTGGCAATAGCCAAATGTAGTGAAGCAACCAAGTTGGAGCGGGGGAGGGGGGGAGTGTTGAATGCTCTTATTAAGGAGGCCAGATTTGGTGGAGTTGGTTGACAGGGGCGGAGCTGCAGGCTATTGAAGGCTGCTCTGCCCCCTGCTGTGCTCTTTGCTTCAGCATGAGCTAGGAGGCAGGTTTCAAACCCCCCCATGAAATTTTCAAATCCCCCCCCCAAAATTTTTCAACCCCTCCCGAATTTTTTTTTGGCTATGGCCCTGATACCATCCATCCATCTTGTCCTTGGTCGGTCCTTCTTCCTTTTTCCTCCCATTTTCCCCAGCATCATTGTCTTCTCCAAGCTTTCCTGTCTTCTTATTATGTGACCATACTTCATCTTTACTACTAATATCTTTCCCTCCAATGAGCAGTTGGGCTTTATTTCCTGAAGTATGGACTGGTTGGATCTTCTCGCTGTCCTCTGCTCCTCCCCAGTAGTATTTTGACCATCTTCCGGCCTGGGAGTCCTATTTTTCGATGGCATACTGTCATATCTCTGGTTGTACTGATCCTTTTAGTTTTCATGGCAATAATACTGGGGTGGGTTGCCATTGCCTTCCCCATGGAGCGTGTTTGGTCTGACTTCTCTTCCATGACCGTCCCGTATTGGGTGTCCCTTCACCGTTTCACTCATGGCATAATTGAGATGCTCAAGCTCCAGCATCATGACAAGGTAGTGATCTTTTGCTGGAGGAACATGGCCATACAGGCCGGAAAACTCATAGCAACCCAACAGTGGTAGATGTTGCAGTGGACCTTTCTTATTGCTCTACCACTTAAGTAAGATTCATCAGTTGCAGGGAAACTGCTTCACAAGTAACTGTGGAATAGGAATGAGAAGTAGTGGAGCAGGCACTACCAAACTTGTTCCCTTCCTATTTTTCATTTTCTAAACCTTAACATCAAATACTTCCCTTCTTTCTTTTCTTCTGCTTCTCTGCTGTTGAGTTTACAGCTGTTGGTATGTGCTTGACATGTATAAAAAATAGCACTATTGAACTAAAGTTGGAATAGCTGCAGAATACTCATTCTTCAACCTTTGTAGCATTGGTTTATGCATGTCTTCCAACAGTCAGTGGTGTCTGTTGGCTTTCAGTTTAGTAGGGCAGTGAAGTCAGTTCAAATTTGTCTAACTTGAAAGGCATTCTGGGAGGAATTCAGAAAAAAAACAGAAAAGTAGAGGTAGGATGGAAAGTAATGCATGTATGAAGTATTTATTTATCATGTCAGAAGTGAATTAAGAATACAGTTGATAGCCATTTTGAGTGTCTCTGGTGTCATTGTAAGAAGCTCCTCCATTATGCATGTGGCAGGGCTCAATCAGTGTATAAAGTATACTTTCGGAGAGTAAAAGATCTAAAAGAGAGGACAGTTCAAAGTGAGGGCAAGGGCCACTGTAGTGAAACCTTGCCTGTTACTGTGTTCTTGCATAATGCTGCAGATGGCACTGTGTAACAATGATATCAAGGAGGAGGTCTTTTTAAACAGCTTCTTTATGAGCCTTAAGTAATGGCTTTCCAATCTGATTTCTTCCACAGGACTTGGATGTGGATGAAAATGTAGAAGGTGAAGAAATGCTGGTGCATATGTTCAAATGGGCATTTGGATGTACTGCAGAAGATGTACACTGACAGAACCCTTTGGCTACAGTAAAAACCTGGAAAAATTGTCAAGGTAAGGCAAATGTTTCCTCCCTTTAAGAAGTAATAGTGATTTCTGGGATGGCTAGCAGGGAATATTAGTTCCTTTTATTTGCTTCCTGGAAATTGCTAATCCATGCTTCTAAAGCATTATTATTCAGTTCTAATTGCCTCCTTCCAAAGAATCAAGAATCTTACTTTCTCTGGGTTAACTTTTGACTTCTCTTAATATTGATTTTAACAGAAAGGTGCCAGTGTTTACACTTGTTTGAAATTTTCAAATAGAAATCTCAGATTCTTTCTCCAAATGCAGATGCTGAGCCTTGTTGCCAATATCTGCCATGAGTTTTTCCGTTACTGTTTTCATACCTTCCAAGCAGTACCATAGGACTGAACCAAGCCATCATTTGAATTTCCTCAGCTCCTAGAAATACCCAGTTTGGTGACCAGTTGCTAGTGCTGCTGAGTGCATTGACACCACAGCCAATGGACATGAGGTCCAGAGCTGGGAAATAATATGTTAAAACATAAATTTGTTAACCTCTGTTGCATAACTTGACACTGGCAGAGTTAAGTCCGTTACACAATATACAATCATGTTAAAGACCTGCAAAAATGCATAATAGGACACTACAAAAGATCTCAGGTTGACCAGTGCAGGATTCAACTATAGCATAGAACCATAGAAGCATAGAGTTGGAAGTGACCACTAGGACCATCTAGTCCAAACCTCTGTCATGCAGGAATCATAGTACTCCTGACAGATGGCCATCCAGCTTTGATTTTAAGCCCACCAGTTAAGGGGCATCATGTCCTGTAGTGCAGTGGTGGCTTCCATTGCTGCAAGAAAGCACCGTGGAAGGTAGGGATACTTCTCCAACTGGGAGCAAGCCACTACCAGGGCTTCCAGTGTCCTGTGGCTCTCCCCTTGTCCCACTTTTATTGTGCAAAGGCAGCCTATCCCACCATGTGCCATAAAGTTGTGCTTTTCCAACTGTTCTGTATCTCTCTCTCTCTCTCTCTCTCTCACACACACACACACAATGCACTACTTTTGCAATGCTATGGCAATGCCCCTCAACACTACAGTTTTAAAAGCACATTCATAAGTTGATTTATGATGCCATAGATTCCCAACAGGTTTTCAGCCATAGAGTCTTGCATAAAATCTGTCAAAGTATTCATTCTTAGATAGTCACACTTCTGGTTTCCCCATAGATTTATCGAAACACTTTGAAAATCCATTGTTTAACCATTAAATGCCAAAGACTTTTTTTGGCATTTGGCATTTGGCATTTGAGCAACAGTTAATAGCACTTTGTGGTTTTATTTCATATGTTGTTGGCTATTTTTATTCATTTTAAGTTATTTTTTTTCCGAAAAAAATTGTGATTTGGCCCCTCAAATCTGTAGTTGCCCTGTGCCTGGGGTAGCAGTACAACAACAACAATTCTTTATTGATTAGTCAATTTTGACCATATCAAAACATGCAAAACATACAAAGGGGGTAGCAGTAGTTACATCTTAGTAAAAAAAAAACATCACTCTGCAAATGCTCTGAGGTAGCCACATGTTCATTATAACCCTTAATATTTTGACACTTAAGCCTGACTGTGTATGTGTATATGTATGTCTTCTTTTTTACTACTGCCCAGGGTGCAGATATACTGGACCCCTTATATGAAGAAAGAGCAAAGTCAAAATCATTTTTAAGGATTCATATAATTTCTGTTATGAAGCCATTTCTGAAAAAAATGTGGCATTTTAGAGATAGTCCCAAATGACATGGGGAACGAAGCCCACTTTTATCTTCTCAAATAGAAATAGTTACAAAGCCTGGCATAGAAGAAATCTAGACCTTTGTCTATTAATTAGGCCAATTTTAGGTATGTGATAGGGCTATTTAAACACCAATATATCAACATGAGAGCAAGCAGTGATGCCATGCCATGTAGGACCAGTTGAATTGCCTCTACATGCCTGTAGAAGCAGCTGGTGACTCCATCCCTTTGGAGCAGTGAATTCATGAGGGTTGTAATAGCTATATCATAGAATATTGTACAATATATAGTGACATTAAATGGCTGGTGGAGAACTGGGTGGCAGGAATAGAGAAAAGTTTAGTTGTACCTCCATGGCCAGGATCAGAAAGGTGACATCATCTGCCAAGATCAGCTAATTTGTTAGGATCCTTCTCACAGTCCAGATGGTTTCCGAGACCCACAAAGGAACAAGGGTGAAGGGGAAAAGAGGAACATTGTGTCTCCCTGGCATTCCAGTTCAAGTTCAGTGGTCAAGGAGGTGATGCAAGACCAAGATTAGCTTATCTCAGATGCCCAGTGCCTTTTCCCAAATGTGAGACTGCTTTGTACAAAAGAACAATCATTCGGTGAGCCATTAGTTTTATTTCCCAGCCTGAAGGCAAAGCACAGAGGAACAACTGTGCTTTGTTCTTCACTGAAGTGACAGTTCTAACACCTCAAAATGAAATACTTAACTGCTGAAATGGATGTGGGCATAAACAACAGATCTTAGGAAAGAGGGGAAAAAAGTGAATGCACCCAAGGATCAAATTTTCCTACATTACCAGAAAACAATAAGTTCTTTCAACTTAGACTGAACAAGTAGATACGGGAAGGTTCATAACAGCTCTGTGGTCTTTGAATTTCCATTTCTTTTCATGCTTCCGTAAGAGCCAGGAGGATGCATCATAATCTTCTTTTATCCCAAAGGTCTGGAGAAATATAAAGTTGAGAGGAGAACAGGTTTTAGCCTGTCATGTCAGACACAGTGGACTGAATTCCCATTTCATCTACCCACCCCATTCACCGTGCTCTATATCACAAGATATTGTTCTGTTTCATGCAGCTGAACATCTGATTTGGACTGTGGACACATCTTTGCTTGGTTGCCTCTCTGTGCTCGACTCAGCCAGAGGGACCAGATGGCAGAACAGCCTCCTCTGACCAGGGTCCAGAGCAGTGATAATGTCAGTTCTCTCATGCTGCTTGGTTCCCAGGTCTGCACTCAAGATTATAAATCTCTCTTCATGTTACTCATGGCATCGTTCCTACAATTATACAAATGTTTTTCAACCTTTCTAGACCTACGGTCATTTTAAATCCAAGAATACAAGCACATCCATCCTATTCCCATCTATTTCTCACATTCATCGTCACCTTCCTTTGCCAAATAATATAAGGAAATACACACTCAGGGTATACTAACACTTTAGAATTAATGCCAGTCAGTTGTCATTTGATGAGGCACCATCACTGTTTCACAAAAAAGCTTTAAAACTATTCAAAACTACAACTGCCATGATTCCATCGCATGGAGCTATTGCAATTAAAGTGTGTCAAACAGCTCTAATTCTACAGTGTAGATGCACCATGTTTCATACCAAAGCTTCCCTGATCAACCTCTTTCCCACCACTGTCAAATTTGGAGCTGGTCTAGGGCTGGGCTGGTAGCACAGCCGGTTAATCAGCTTCAATAAATCATTGTCAACCGAAAGGTGGAAAGTTTGAAACCCAAGTTAGGGTTGAGCTCCCGATTGTTAATAACTGTTAAAAATAGCCCAGCTTACTGTCCACCTAAGTAATTCGAAAACAGCTGTGAGTCAAGAAATTGGGGACCACTTAAAGTGGGGAGGTTAATTTATGACACCATAAAAATGCCAGAGAGCAAGAAGGAAATACTATGATAAAAAAGCTCATAGTGGATGAAGTGACAGCTTCCCCATGGCTGAATTGAGCAACCTCCAGTGGAAGAACTGCTGAATGGCCTCTATCTGTCTGTATGTCTTCTATGTCAAAAATGGCATTGAATGTTTGTTGTGTATGTGTGCATTCGGGGTGAGAAGGACGAAATATAAATACTGTAAATAAATAAATAAATAAATAAAACTTAAAAGATGAACTAGAATAGATGAAGCTGTGTCTGGTGCAATGAGAAACGTAAAAGAAAAGATAAGAAAGAAAATGTGGAATCAGAGAAAGTAAATATTTAAAAAACACAAGAGAATTAGGTATAGATACAGAATATGACAGAGGAAACCAATACAGTAGAGAGAGAGAGGTACCTTTAAAATTTCAGCTCTACATAGCAGTATCTTCAGGTTTTATGTCAAGGACTACAACTTCCATCAAGCATCAGCAATGAAAGTTGTAGTCTAATGATATCTGTAGGACCACATATTTCATATCAAGAGAAAGCCTTTACCTGTCCTAGGAACATCCATATTGTTAAAGCTAACCCTTCATAGGTTTTATCTTCTCCTTTTCTGTTTGTCAGAGAGCCATTGTGGTATAGTGGTTTGGGCATTGGGCTGGGGCTCTGGAAACCAGGGTTTGAATTTCCACTTGGCCGTGGAAAGTCACAGGGTGACTTTGGGCAGGTCTCACATTCTCAGCTTCAGAAAAAGACAAAGGTGAAACCGCTCTGAACAAATCTTGCTAAGAAAACCCTAGAAGAGGTTTGCTTTCTAGTTGCCATAAATCAGAAATGACAGAAAGGCATGCAAAGTGGAGGAAATAAAGATCTCCTGATAAAAAAGAATCCACACAGCTCATATTCCTAACCTCATAAAGGCAGTGCACAAAGAGAACTTGCAGTGGGATGAAGATGAACTTTGCACTCTACTCATTCTCTTCTTATTAAAAAATATGTCAGGCAGAGAATTGATTCTGGTTGAGCTGTGGGTGTGATTCTTCCCTCTTAAATATGACATTTTCAGTACTCCATTTCGATTAATTCCCAGTCTTGTCACTGGCTCCCCTGCCCTCCTTGTTTGCAGCTTTTGGGTTTTGATTTGACATGACTCGCACTTTACCTCTGGTTCCTTTCACTCAGTGGCTTCCTTTCTTCTTTCCTCCCTCCCCTCCTGCCTACAGGATGAGGTCCTGTGCCAAATCAATGCTTCCGGCTCAGTGGCTGTTCCTGGCATATGTGTTAATGGTGTGCTGTAAATTGTTGTCTGCGACTGGCCACCATCCCCGGGGGCATCCAGGTAGGAGCTTTTAAACTCATTACACACTGCTGCGGCCAATTAATAACACTCGCCGAATGTTAGATTCCACTTTCGAAGCCATGGATAATTGATGAAGCTGTTTGACAATGTGTTACAACCAAAGCACCAAAAAGCAGGATGAGTTGGGGGGTTTAAAAAGAGGGAAGGGGTTTGTCAACACACACATACAACACACAAACATACACAGTAACAGGAGATGACTTATTGCTGAGACTTCAAAGAGAGTTCACAGCACTATTGAATGTTTACTGAGCAAATTTACAACACTTCTAGTTTCAGAAATGGTGTCTTTATCACTTCTACAGATTCAAAAGCACAATAGTAAGGGGGGAAAGGAAAAGAAAACCAAGGAAGAACATGTTCTAGGAGATCGCTGTTAGGGGAAATAATTGTTTCCTGTGTTTACTTCAGTGGTTAGGTTATTTTTTAAAAAATGTAATAAGCTGATTATCGTAAGATAATAAATTCTTTTTGTGAACAGTTGCAATAACCTTAAGCAGTTGGTGGGATAACAGCCTGCTGTAGCATGAGAGAGGCAGATGGTATCAGAAAATCAGAAATGTTTCCCAAATCAGTAGAGGTTGGAGACCCTTCCAGATCATTGCAGCAGGCAATGTTGAGCCCAAAGACCAAAATCACATGTGTAGGTTTCACTTCTTAGAGCTGTTGCATCAGCTGTTGAATGGTCAACATGGAAATATTAGGGTCCAGGTAGAGATGTGTAACTTCAGAGCAGGAATGATGGATTGCATTGTAGCTTCATGGATATATAAACCCAATTTTCCTAGTTTCCAGCAAACCTCACAACCTCTGAGTATGCTTGCTACAGATGCGGGCGAAACGTCAGGAGAGAATGCTTCTAGAACAGTGGTTCTCAACCTGTGGGTCCCCAGATGTTTTGGCCTTCAAGAAATCCTAACAGCTGGTAAACTAGCTGAGATTTCTGGGAGTTGTAGGCCCAAACACCTGGGGACCCACATGTTGAGAACAACTGGTCTAGATTATGGCCATACAACCCAAAAAACCTACAACAGCCCAGTGATGGAGGTCTGTTCTCATGTTGATTGGAGCATAGTAGACTGGTGTTTCCATTCCTCCCATCAGCAACCTCTGATGTAACAATCAGAAGCAAGATCCCTGTTACAATTCCATCTTGTACTGGAGATTGCTGTTGGAAGGAGGATGGAAATGAACATTAGAAGAACTAGACCAGTGGTTCTCAACCTGTGGGTCCCCAGATGTTTTGGCCTTCAACTCCCAGAAATCCTAACAGCTGGTAAACCGGTTGGGAATTCTGGGAGTTGTAGGCCAAAACATCTGAGGACCAACAGGCTAATAACCACTGAACTAGACCATTATTGCTTGCAGCAGCTGGTGGCCATTAACGATGGAAATAATAGTGTCACCATTCTCAATACATATTTTTTATGGATACAGATTGTTATAGGCCCATACCTCTAGGTTATGAATGCTGTATTCCAAGCTTCATTTCTGCCTGTTTTGTTGAGCAGAGCCGGGTTAAGGGTATAACAATCATGTATTCTAGTTTTTACGCTTGAAAGAATGAATGTCTTGACATTCTGACTCCATTGAGAAACAAGGGAAATTTGAATATCTCCTGCCGAATGCTTAGATAGCATAGGAAGGAGTCTGGAGTGTAGAAATTCTTAAAATCACTGTGATGGCAAAGGGAATTTTTAAAAACCCTTCTGAAATTCCTTGAAGCCAACTGTGGAGGCAAAATGAGTTATGCAAATGCCCTCTGCATAGGAACACAAATCAGATGCATTGGGGAGGGAGCGTAATTTAATATTTAACAGTTCTTGTTGTTGTTCTTTTACCGCTGCACTCTTTCTTATTTGTTGTGTTTAAAAATAGTTATACAGGAATCCAACATTTAGTACATTATGCATTTCTTTTTTAAAAACCCCACTCTGAATTGCCTGCTCTGTTACCATCTCATTTAAAAGGCAAGTTACGATTGTAATAAGAATCTCCGTTATCACCACTTTGTAATGAAAATGTAGGAAACTACCAGCATCAATTAGCATGTGAATTGCCTGCTTTCCATCTTAGGAACACCCCACAGCTGGGAGTCCAGTGGAGAGGTGCTCTAATGGCGTGTTAATGCCAAGTGTGGTGATTTCACTAAGTGGTGACGGTGTGCGAATGTCTGAATGTATGGTCTTATCTTGGGTTGTCCCTACGGGGTGAACTTCAGCTCTGTTTTCTTCATGAAGGGAATGACCTGTTTATTCCTTCAAAATATACCTCCAGCTACAATTAATGAGCAAAATAAATTTCCATGTTCTGAAGACACAGGCGTGCACAAGGCCTGTCTCATTAAAGAATGTCTTCTCATGGCCTTCCAGTCTGGTTGGCGTTTTCTAGAAAGCAGGGATATTAACTGTGGCAAAAACATGTTGACATTGGAATTGGTTTCCAGCCTCTAGGATTGAATCACAGCCCTTTAAAATTCATTCCTCATCCAGTCCCAGGGGAAATACCTGTGATTGGAAGATGATGGTGTCTGTTGTGTGCATGCACAATGAACGCTTGTTATATGCAATGCAAATGCTTTCACTTTTTACAGCGCGGGAGTCTGAGTGTACATTTTTTTTGTCAGATTAAGATTGATTTTACTCTTTTCAAAATGCAAGCGCCCAATATTAAAGTCTTTGTAAAGCACCCACAAAGTTATATGAAGGAAAAATAGATGACCATAAGGTAATTGCTTCTGGAAGCCTCAAGGAACATACACATAATACGTTGTTGTCATTGCTAAGTTTTGTTTCTTCTGAGAAATTGCAGCAAACTTGAATGAGAGATCAGGCTGTAATATGAACTAGAAAACAGCTATTGCTGGGCTGTGAATGGCCCCATAACCTCAGCCGAGCTCATACAATGTCACAAAATATTCAAAATATTCTAAGAGTTCAGAATGAATTAAATTTTTAATTATGCCTTTGTTATGGAAATGAAAATACAGGGAATCATTGGCAGTAAGGGTCCAAGTGAGAATGGTGGAAGTGAGGAAATGTGGCCCTAAAGAGATGTAAGAAAATGCACAGGAAGATTTAGAAACAGATGTGACTGAAAGAAAAGGGGCAAAGTATGTTGTAGGTTGAGAGCAGAGACCTAAAAGGGAGGAGGCAGAAAACTTGGGGACAGGAAGAGTGAGAATGAGAAGAAGAAACATATGTAGATGGAAGAGCCATGGGACTGAAGCACAAAAGGTGATGTATGATATTGATAAGAAAAGTAGTGGATAGGTGCAGGTGGTTTACAAATTGGAACATTTTATATAGTGAGCCTTGGAGATAGTTAAGTGCAAAGAAGTCATGAGTTTAAATTCAACAGCCCTATATCCCAGAATATCAAGGCAGAAAATCCCACATTATCAGACTGTGGACTCTGATAAGCCAGTTCAAAGCAGACATTGTGGGATTTTCTGCCTTGATATCCTGGGATATAGGGCTGTGTGGAAGGGACCTTTATGTGAATCTGCTGGACTTCTAGGCTTTATAACTGCTGTATACAATCATAGATATTTTATAGTAGGTTTATTTATCACAATTCTGCTTGTGTTTTGAGTACTGCAACTGGACTAGGGTTATTTCAAGATCTCTCATATACTTCCTAGTAGAACTGGGATTTATCTAGTTCTAGGGTTTTGTCTATCTGCTATGGGGAAACTGTACTCTTTCTGAAAGTACCCTCTGCCCACTTATTGCTGGTGATTTCATCCTGGAATCCACATTAAAAGATCTCCCCCTCAAAGTGCTGAGGCTAATGCTCAAATGGTTACTTAAAACTTGGACTAAAATCAAGGGCAGATTCACTACCCCATTGTCATGTGGCTGTCAACTACCAATTCCTCTGCCATTTTTTTGTTTAAAGGATCTTTGGAAGGTTACATCAAAGAAGGCGGAAGGCCAAGATGGCAAGCATTTGTTTATCCCAATCCCAGTTAGAGGATTTTACCCAATGGGAACTCAAATTCACAGTCACATAGTACAAGGTTTGTGAGACAAAAGGTCAAAAACTTATTTCACAGATTATTGTGCATCGTCTGACACTTGATGCTTCCTTCTAGTTTATTACCTCAAGACGTGATGTGGATTCTGGCATGTTTTTCTTGGCACTGTGAGTCTGCCCTTCCAACCCTTTTAGGAGCACAAAGTCAATATCTTTTTGGACAGAGGTCTGGGCTAAAAAAACCCCCTGTTTTCAAGACAGGCTTTAAAGTGTTTAGAAGGAGGATGGCCTCAGGGAAACACAAGGGACACACAAGTGCATCTGAGCCTTTAACTCAATTCTCCCTTCATCATCACGTCAAACTGCCACATCATGACATCAACATGTGGAGATAGGAAATAAATGTTATTTACAGGACGGGTAAAAAATCCCAAGAGTTGTAGTGCATAAATCGTCACCTTTCCCCTCTACTATCCAAGAAAAATAGACCTGTTCAACTTTATAGCCTCTCTTTACTGCCACTCTGAAGCTAATTTAAGCTAAGAGGTTGACATGATAACTGCATTTCAATCTCATATTGAAGTGTAATATAAAACCATATTTCTGGTTCTTTTAAAATGATAGTGCCAAAGACATGTAATTTACTAGCAAGTGCTGTGCCATTAACATCTACATGTATTTTCTGGGACTGTGCACACACCCCCAATCTAACTCAAGGGCCAGTTTGATAGTCCAAACCAGATCCAGTCCAGAGGCTGAATCTGGATTATAATTTGGAAATATGGATCACTGCTTCTCCCATTCATTTCATTTGAGAAATATAAAGTACTATAACAGTGTTGAGAGTTGTGCAGCATCCCAAATGCTTAACTGCAACTTCTAGTATTCCTCAGCATTAGTTATGCTGGTTATGACTCCTGGAATTTGTAGTTCATCATCATCTGGAAAGCTGCCCAGTTCTCTTGGTACATCTGGATGAAACATTATAATTGTGGTAGATG